TTTTAAAAATTAAATATAAAAATTTTAAAATTAAATTATTATTATTATTATTATTATTTTGCAAAAATTTAGAATTCTTGCATAAGAATTCGATTTTCATGTTCAAGATTTTATACTTCCTCCAATACAAAATTTTCAGAATAATAAATTTTATATTTAAAATCTGTGTATGAAGAAAAATCTCTTTAAAATGAGAAAATATAGTAAAATTGTGCATCAACTAAAAGTATAATAATATTATATCATATAAATAAATATAGATGTTACATATCAAATCGATTTTATAAAAATTGAATTAGAAGACGATCTAAACTCGTAGATGCATATTTTTACGTTAGAGGAAAGGGTTGTCGGCATGTCGATTAAGCAGTAACAATTCAGTGTTGTACCTAAAACTAGGTAGGAACAAAAGGTTGAAACATTGAATCATTAGTGTTTTTCATAGATGGTTTTGCAACTACAGTGACCATTAAATAAACATTTTCTCAGTTATCTCTCTTTTTCAGTACACTTTCTGAAGCTTTATCATAATTACACTTGTTCTTACGCTTCATCTGGCATCTATAATAAGACAGATACCAAACACTTTTATTTAATTCGCGGGTGGTGGCTACTAGATTAAGGGTTGTGTAGGGCTAGTAGACAACACTAACGAAAGAGTTTATAAGTAATTGAAAGTAACTTGTTGGATTAAATGGCAGCAGTGCATAGCATCTTTTTGACTTTCTAGGGTTTGTATGGTCCTCAAGGAGACAACCACACCCCTTATTTTCTCCACCCTAATCTCACTTCAATTACCACCACTAATCATTTTTATTTTATCGTTTACCCAAAATATTTAGCCTACTATTGTTAGAGACTACGCATCCTTTAATATTAACCGTTGGTTTGTATTTATACGTATCACCATGTAATAAATATTTATTTATTCAAAGAATTTGCATCGGTTGGTTAACACACTAGCTTTTGACAAAATATATCTGTGTTTAATTCCAACAAAATAAACCTTTAGAGAGTATATCAAAAGTTTTAATCATGATTAAGGGAATTAGTCAATGATTTAAAAGAGTAAGACTTGGGCAGATGTTTGTGATGATTATTTAAAAAAATAATTATGAAAGACAATACCAATAAGAGTTTAACCTAAGTAAATGATTCACACCATTTCTAAGAAAAAAAATTTAAAGCACTTGTAAAATGTTTATCATATATAATAGACATTATTGTTTGACTTATTATAACAAGATTTTAATATAAGAATTACTCTTATAAGGCAGGTTACCACATAAATCACCAATTATAATTTTAGTGATAGATTTTTCGAAAGATGATTCATTGAAAAGATACAATATTAATAAAATAGGAGTTCAACTAATATAAAATATTAATATCATCTAAAATCTTAACTCATTATATTTTAGATTTAAATATATACTTAAATTTTTGCAACCACTTAAAATTTCATCAAAAATGGAAAAAATAATAATAATAATAATAATAATAATAATAATAATAATAATAATAATAATTCATGTAATAATTGCTTCCACTAAAGATGATACGATTGCATTCAAACAAGACGGAGAGTATGATCTCCCATATCCTGCTCCATTTTTTATTTTTTGAAGCAATTTTGTGAATAATTTAAAAAAAAATAAAATTATAAAAAATACATACAATAGAATTTTTATTTTTTTTAATTCAAACACTTAGAATATGTAGAAAAAGGAAGTACGATCCTTATCCCAAAATATATGCTTGGGGATTTGTCCGTGTCCCCCATTTGTATGTGGTAAAAATCTGTAAACGCAGAGCCCATAATCCTCAGAAAAAATCGTAAAAGACGAAAAAATGATAATCTTTACCTCTCTTAATTGGAGTGACATGACGAGAATCATTAGTTTGATTTAACGATGACATCTCTTAATTCTTGTGACTTGGTCAGATTTAGCTTCACTCTAATATCCATCACGTAATCATAGAAGCATTTTTGTTTTCTTTTGCTCGTGCAACAAACCAATCCAACTCCTCTACCTCATATTTTTTATTCATCATATCACTCCATAACACGTCCAAGTGAATACCAACACACTCTTTCGCGGAAGTAGTGAACAAAAACAGCAACCCTAATCATATTATTATATTGGAAAAACATATATTAGTTAAGAACTTGCTCCCTATTAAAAGTTAAGGTCCTATCAAGGGTTGCACATAACATGATTGAGATAACATCCCAACAACCATTAAAATGACCTAAACACAAAGGTGTTGAGGGTGAAGAATGAACATGTAATAAATACTATTATACTAATGTTGAGTGAGTATAATATTTTGATGGTGATTATGCTTTTTTTTTGGTTGATGTGAACAAAAAGTATTTTGGGTATAAAAGGACGTTTGTAAGGCTAAATTTGGCATGACATAATTTGCCCATGCCCTGCTAAATACAAGGTTAGATGAGCTGGGAAAAAGGGGTGACAAGGAAACCATGTTTGCTTCAACAGTGCTTCTCAATTATAAAGAGAATAAAAACAATTTATGGGTCGTTTCTGACCGTTGACTAATTCTTCATCCATGGTCCTTCATTCTTTCCATAAATAATAATCAATAATACACTTTTTACCAATCAATTCAACCCTAACAAATTCATCAAAAAAATCAACCCTAGAATGCCGTGGATCCACTTTGAGTAGGTATTATTGAAGAATTTTCAGGTCAAAACAACGTGATCGTGCATATATATATATATATATATATATATATATATATATATATATATATATATATATATATATATATATATATATATATATATATATATATATATGCTGGGTGAAAATTTAGGGCATTTTTGTTTCTGTATATTTTATTATCATGCACTGTTTCAGATTATGACTCTTAAACTATATATCCAGTTTTTGACTCAGTATACCACTATTAGTGCACAATTAATCGCGTGCCTTGAAAAACAATAAATTGGTCATAAAACAATTATAGTTTCTTGAAAATATATCAAATTTAATTTTGAACTGATTAGGACACAGCTGACCCTGTCCAAAAGGAGTCATTGATGTAGGGGAACGTAACAATCGTAGTTGAAATCAATTAGATTTTTTTATTTTATTAAAATAATCTTTATTTAGGTTAACTAGTTTCCCCCTAAAAGTTTTATATTTCTTATTCATTTCAACAGGTTTTATAGACACTTCATGAGTGTTTTAGTCCACTAGGTTTAAGTAATTGTTTTAAAAAAATATTTTTTATTTGAAATAGTTTCAAAGTAACATATTTAACAAGACATACTATTTAATGTATGTTTTACGAGTCATCTTAAATCAGAATGCACTCATCATATTAACATTATTCTCCTTTTTTTTTAATTTACTTGATTGGAAAACATGCAAAAAAAAAACGTGTTTTTTTTTTACCTAATGTCGAATATGTTTTGTTTTATTTATTTTTTTAATGGAAACAAAAAAAATTATAGGCACTTTTCAGTTACCATTAGACATCTAAATGGATAAAATTATATATAACATGTGATTAATAAAGTGTTTATTGTGACTCTTCGTGTATCATATGAATGAAAGAAAAAAAAAGGGGACTTTCTCTATAAAATTTGTAATGGTAAAGAATATTAGATATTGTTTTAGTCACATGTGGGAGAACCAAACTTGCCCCTCTCCTCTATTTCTTTTCTTCCTTTCTCAAAACTGTGGTTTGTGGGGTGCAACGAAACGGTAAACTGTGTTAATGATAGGTTGATATGTTTATAATTGTACAATAATTACACAATCACTTGCTTTTGATTCAAAACATGATTTAAATTTAAATTCAAAAACTTTGTCAAAAAAAAAAAGAAAAAAGAATTAACTGCAATTTTAATATTGTATTGATTATTATTAATTAATAAAAACATGTGTATTAACTACGGGGTCAGAGAGAAGTAAAAGCTTCACGAATGGTCGTTTTTTGTTTTCCTTTTTAATTTTAATTTAATTTATCGAAATTACATTAACATAAGAACAAGACCTAGCGAGGCGTAGCATAGCACAGAGAAAGAGAGAGAGAGAGAGAGAGGGAGGATGTTGCGTTCCGCGCTCACAACACAAGCCTGCGCAGTGTCTCTCCCAATCTCGTATCTTGGGCCATAACATAACCATCACCAATATCGATGAATGTGTCGTATTTTCCTGTTTTACCCTTTCCAACCCTCGCATTTTATTTTTCTTACACTGCAAACGGGTTTTCTCCCTCCGACTCGTTCGCTTTTTCACTTTAACATATTATTCACGCACATATATATTCCACTTCGTATTTTCGGTTGTGCTCGCTCATTCTGCTCCTTCCTCGTCTCATCGCAACACAACGCAACACTTGGATGCTATGCTTCTTCTGTCTAAACCCTCTTAACTTGTCAGCATACAATCTTACTCTCATCATCGACGCTCCCCATGTAAGCATATATTTTGTTTCCCCTCCCTCTTGTTTCCTCTTGAAAAGTTGTCTTCTTCCAACTCTTCCTCTGCCAGTTTCTCTTCTCTGTTAATTCATTTGTCTTCATCGGGTTTTACTTTTTAAGGGTTTTTCAATTTCTACATACCGCTTCTTTTTGTGGGTTCATTTTGATTTCTGTGTTTTTTTTTTTATTAAAAAAATTATCATTTTGTGATTTCTGGCAAGTGGTTTGCGCTTTACATTTGCAATTGTCGAATGTAATAAGACCAAGTTAAATGGGTGCGGATTGGGATCTATGTTGGATCTCTCGGTATCTGTTTTTTATTTTCTTATTAAATTATTGTTATCGGTGTGGTTCAATGAAATGTTTATTTGGCTAATATTGATTTCCGTGCTGCTTTTTTATTTTTAATGTGTAGTTCATGATCTGGGGGGCTTCGTCTTGAGAGAGGTAAAAAAAAATTGAGTTTTGACGCATTCGTGGGGTATAAAATGTTGCTTCACTGAGGGGGGGGGGTTTCATGGGTTGAATTCAGAGAATCATGGGTAGCTTCAGCGAAGACGATGAATGTCATTTTTTCGATGCTCAAGAGGATGTTGTATCTGTTGCGGATGATGAAGGGCTATCCAATGCTTTTGAGTATGGAGTGTGGATTCGGAGTCCAGGGAGTGTCAGAGAGCGTAGGGGCAGGTTTATGAAGAGTATCGGACTGAGTAGTGTAGATTTGATTGCCCTAGAAAGTGAACGCTCAGTAGATGTGGGTAGTGTTCAGTGTGAAGAGGTAATGGATAGAGTTAAAGTTACTAGTGGGGCTGTGACCGGAAATTGTGTTGTAGAAGAAGAATTCTGTTCAAGCCGGACATCAATGTCTTGTTGGCAAAGGGAGAATTCTCCAGAGGAGTTTGGTTTAGCGGATAACTCGCCGTGTAGAGATCGGAATTTGGAGGGTAATGTGGATCAGGAGGGACTACAGTGTAGGGAGATGTGTGATGGAAGAGATCTGGATTCAGATCGGTTGGTGGTTGTCCAAGAACCTAATGATTCAGAGAATGCCTTTAGGGAAACGGATGCCAATGCTTCTGCTCGGAGAACAAGCAGGGTTAGAAAGGGTTGGTTCAGGAGATTGCGGTCGATAACATGCATGGTTAATAGGCATGAGGAAGGTGGTTTTGAAAGAGGAGAAGGCCTTGGTGAAATGCCAGGGTGTAGGCTTCCGAAAGTTAAGGTTCGTCAGCTGAAGAAGCCCACGAAGGAACTTTCAGCTCTTTACATGAGGCAAGATATCCAAGCACATGAAGGTTCAATTTTGACCATGAAGTTCAGTCCTGATGGGCAGTATCTTGCTAGTGGTGGTGAAGATGGGGTTGTGCGCTTGTGGCAAGTGGTTGAGGATGATAGATGTAACGAAGTTGATATTCCAGAAATTGATCCATCTTGCATTTATTTTACCGTGAATAATCTATCTGAATTGACACCACTATTTATGGATAAAGAAAAATTAAGCAAACTGAGGAGCCTGAAAAAAACTTCAGATTCTGCTTGCGTAGTTTTTCCTCCTAAGATCTTCCGGTTGTTAGAGAAACCATTGAATGAGTTTCGTGGGCATAGAGGTGAAGTTTTGGATCTCTCTTGGTCAAACAATAATGTGAGTGAATGTCATTAGTTCAGTTTTTTTAATTAAATAAGCACCATACACTTTGGTATGGATGAAAGTTTGGAGAATTGATTTGGTTTTTCATCTTCTTGGATGCAGTATCTTCTGTCATCTTCAGTTGACAAAACTGTCCGACTATGGCAAGTGAATCATGACACTTGCTTGAAGGTTTTCTCACACAGTAATTATGGTGCGCCTTAACCGGATTGCTCTTTTTTTAAGGCTTCTTCAGCTGTTATCCTAATTATTTTTTACCATTACAAATTATCTCACAGTTCGTTTGTATTTGATGTATTGTAGTGACGAGCATACAATTCAATCCCGTGGATGATAATTATTTCATTAGTGGATCTATAGATGGAAAAGTGCGCATCTGGGCTATTCCTGAATGTCATGTTGTTGATTGGATTGATATCAAAGATATAGTGACTGCAGTATGCTACCGGCCTGATGGGCAGGTAACATTTTTTTTCCAAACAATTTCAATTCTACAGAAACATAGAAAAAGTTAGAAATGATCTTAAGATGAATGATATTCTTCATACAGGGAGGGATTATTGGCTCTTTGGCTGGCAATTGTCGGTTTTACAATATATCAGGTATCATATTTTTCACATTTACCTTAAGATTTTATTTCCCCTAGTTAAACCAGTTAGTTGTCATTTGGTATATTTCCTTATGATTGTAAAAAAGTTAATGTTGAACTTGTGCTAACCTTGATACTATAAATGCTTCCAATCCAATCTATTTATTTCTTAAATGTTTGATTTACTGCGACTACTGATCTTGACAAGGAAGGAAGTAATAAGACTGTTACTGTTTAAATGGCAATCAAGTTATCATTTTGATGTTATGACTTTCATTGACTATATTACAATTACAACCATATAAGACTGGAGCTTGGCCATTAACTCTTCTGATTTTCATTTTTGCTTGATACAGAGAATCGCTTGCAGTTAGATTCCCAACTATGCTTGATTGGTAAAAAGAAACTTCCTGGCAGAGGGATTACTGGGTTTCAGGTATTTTTTTTTTTCTTTTGCTTATTGTACTAAGTGAGTCGTTTTTTTACTTTTTCTCATGAACTTTTGGTTTTCGATATAAGGTTTTTTTTTGTGTTATAAACTGATCATCTGTTGTTTATTTCAGTTTGTTCCGCATGACTCTAACAAAGTTATGGTCTCCTGTGCTGATTCACAAGTCAGAATCCTTGACGGCCTCAATGTGATTGGCAAGTACAAAAGTATGACCTTTTATCTTACTCCTACATTTATTGATAATTTTTCGATACGTAGCATCCATACAACTGTCATTCTTTTAGTTCTTAAAAACTTATTTCTTATTAATTTGAATTTTATTTTATATTCTGTTACTAAGATTCTTTGTATTTTTGTTTTAGGCCTTAACGCAGGGAGCCCAATGTGTGCATCGTTTACTTCTGATGGGAAACATATTCTATCAGCATGTGAGGACTCCAACGTATACCTCTGGAATGTTAGTCAGGAAGAGTCTAATTCTGCGAAAGCTAAGAAGATTACATCTTGTGAGCGGTTTTTCTCAAATGCATCTGTAGCAGTACCTTGGCATGGTTTGAAATCTAGAAATGTTGAAAATGAACATCGATTGGATGTGTTGGATAAAAGATCATCTCAAGTTATACAACTTAATACACCTGCTTCCTTCTCTCTGAATCAAGAGTTTATTTTAGAGTCTTTTCCAAAGGGGTCTGCAACTTGGCCCGAGGAGAAGCTTCCTGTTTCAAGTTCCAAGGCTAAAACATCAGTGATGCACAAATCCGAATACAAGTTCTTGAAGTCTTCTTGCAAGAGTACTTCCTCTGCTCACGTGTGGGGTATGGTCATTGTCACTGGTGGCTGGGATGGAAGGATAAAATCATTCCACAATTATGGGCTACCTATACCCGTTTGAAATGAAGTGACTTTTCCTAAGTTGGAGAGTAGAATCAACATTCATTCCTTTTGTCGGACATATTGTCCGTGGAAAATTACATGCTGCAAGGCGATTTTATGAACGATGTTAAATTTGGCACCATCAGTAACAATCAGGTTGAGGTAAAAACCTTTAGGCCGGAATCGCAGCTAAATGAGTCGTGAACATGGGTTTTGGAGGGTCCCCTTTCAGATTTCAGGGGCTTCATATTGCTCATTGGTTCGTGGCAAGTGGTGGCACTATTATGCTTCCAGTGTAACGCTGCTTGAAATTAGCAAGTGGCCAGTTTTAGCTTGTCTTGCACCTAATCTAAATTACCTTTTGCTACACAAGAATCTGCTGGCCCCTAAAAGAGATGCAAAGTCATGTGTTCGAAGTTGGGAGAGGGCCTATGAGATATTATTTTGATATGTTGTGGGGCTGTTATATTGCTTAGATGAGAGGAGGAGATTGAAGTGCTAGTGGCTCAAGTTCTCACTATGATCAAAATGCTGGGGGTGTTGATGATTTTATTATTGGCAGGACTAACTAAATGAATCTACTTGTCTGCCAATCTTGCCGTCCATCTCATGGTAGGGCCTCATGTGCCTGGGCTCAATACTTTCATGTGTGGTGAGGATGTTTGTGGCGGTCATTTCTGTTTGAATAGCTGCCTGTTGCTGCAATCATACAAACAGTACGAACAACCAATCCAGTTGCTTTCTGTTTAGTGGCTTCAACTCTACTTGACTGTCAGAGTCTTTGGCAACTGATGCATTGCTGACAATTATTACACTACTAACAGACATTCTGAATATGGCCTCAATTTTAGACTGACATCACCTTTTCTTTTCATTTGAGTTACAACTATCCTATCCTTTCTAATTTGACACTACAATACTATCTCCATTCTGTTGGCAGATTTGTACATTTGTAACTTGTGTAAGTAAAATTTTGTTGGCTTGGTGGAAATACAATTAAACACGAGTTCTTTGTGTGATGGTTCTTTTTGGTTCCCCTTTTACAGTGTCTTTTAGAGTTTTCAAAGTGCGTTTATGCTTCAAATAAGTTAATGGTTCTAATTTTTACTTCTTAAATATGATAGCTCTGTTCAGAACGAGTTTTCAAAAACCTTTCAATTGATAATATTTCAAATATGCATTGAAGCTTACATTCATAATCAACTTTACACGTACACACTTTGAATGTAAAACTTGTGGTTAAAATTAATTTATATATATACTTCACCGTTCGAAATAAACTCTCATGATCAGTTATATAAAAAGCTAAAATACATAGGCGCCTTAGACACGAAGAAAAAGATAAACTTTTTGTCTGTAGAGAAATACTCACTCCTTCATCAAGCCAAAGGCCAGAAACATGATCGTTAGTCTCTGGCAATGCCACGATGAAAGTTTAATTAATCATATCTACTTTAGTGAAGGGACCTGAGGGGAATTAGTCACAAAAGTTGTAGCCAATAGATTTGGAAGTGACTGATGGGTACATTTGTCCCTTGTCAAAGAACAGTTACACTAACGCGTTGCTTTGTCCTGCGCTCAAATTATAAGCCTCTTTTGGTTTTGATTGCTCACTCATGAGGTCTATGCTTAATTCAGTTCTGTGCTGCTCCTCTCGTATGTGGCTAAAGACTCAGAGCAAGTCTTTATAAGCAAATGTTTCTTTCCACTTCCTATTTTGATGTATGAGTGATCATCCTTAGTTTAACAAGTATTGGAAACACGTAACGAAAACGTTGTTACTACCAAAAAAGTAAGTTATTTTCACATTCACTGTTCAAGGAGACCGATTCATGAACATGCCCACACAACGCTGATGCAGCATTGTTTTCCCTGCATTCTGTAAATGCTGTTTACTATTTCAAAAGTAAAATATTTTGTTATTGGAAAAACAGAATGTGTGACGGTCACATGGAGGGTACTTATCATTAGTTTAATCTTTGCTATGAATGATTAGTAGGCTTTATTCACTAGTGCTTAAAGGTGGTGTTTGGTTTGTTTCCTGTTTCTATCTTTAGGGGTCTTTTTTATTAATAACAACACAAAATGTTGCACTACTTTTCAAACCTTGAAGAGAAAACTTACAACAGTAAAACCTTACTTCTATTATTTTCTTCACTATATCATGAATTTAAAAGACAATATAAAAGAAGTAATTTTTAAATCTCATGTATTTTGACAAGAAATTAAAAAGTACCCAATCTACGCATAACAAACACACGGGATATGCTAAAAACCAGCAATCTCCAGGGCGTTGAAGAATATCATGATAGAAAAGGGCAACTTGCGAAAGGGAAAAATCAGTGAGACAGAAACATATATGCAACCGAATTAAAACCTTACTAAAAAAAAATAGGAGCATCATTTGAAAGAATATTTATGCAGTGTCTTGGTTTAACCATTAAAAATAACATATTGAATCAATTATACAAATTTCTGACAGAAAAATACCTTTTGTAATGTTGGAACACTCTGTATGGTCCATAATTGTGGTGAGTAATGTTTAAAAAGGGAACAGAGGCACCTAAACATGATATGCTGATTGAAGAAAAAGCGTCTTAATACATCCACAAACCAAAAACCTTTGTAGAGGCAACAAAAGATAATCTATTAATGAAGCTCATTGGAGAAACAATAAAGCGAAAACAGGCAAGCCAAATCAAATGCACATGGTTCTTAACATTATGACCTCATAATGGATTCAAGAAAGGAATCAAATCAATGACACAACGATAGAGAAAAATGAATGATTTATTTTAGAGGGGGTTTGCAGCAATCTTAATCTAACTGATTTGCATTTTCAAATTTATGAGTTGGGTATTGAAAAACCTGCATATGTGTATGCTTATTCTTTTGCATTTTATAATGTGTGCCAGTTTAACTTTTGAAATTAGACCAACCAAGTAGTACACAGTGTTACCCACCAAAAAGCATTGGTGCAGAGAATCAAATGCTAAAAGCTGTATTAATCAATGCGGAAAAGACAAAAAGCATAACTTTGGATTAACTTAGCAGAGAGATATGTTTGGATAAAAATATACATACACCCGACAAAGAAACATGTAACAATTGTTTTCCCTCTCTCCACCCTCTGCATCATCATTATAGTTAGTTAATTGTTCATTACTTTAATAAAAGCTTTAGATTTACTGTGTGGTGTTGCAGAATGTTTAATCTTTTTTTATTCTTTTCATGTCCTTCACAATACTCTTTCAAAACAATGTTGAATATGTATTTTTTATTATGTTACTTATTAGTTATTGAGAGGGTAGTTTTGAAACTCCCAATTATTATTTTTAATAAACTAATAAAAATTGTTTGTGAGTAAAATGAGTGCGTGGAATTGCTCTGATTAGATGTCACAAAGAAGAGTATTTTGTATTGAGAATACTAATGTGAGTTAAGTTTTATATTTGAATAAAAAAAATTAAAAAATATATAAAAATGTATAATCTATAATTTAATGTCTTAAATTTTTTTATTAAAAATAATATTAATTCTTATATGGATTGGATTCAACTTATATCTGATTAATATATATTTTACGTAAATTTTACAACTATATTATATTTATGATATGGATTGCACTCATGTATTATATATATTACACATTCATTATCTACTTTTTCTAACCATTTTCTAACTCTGATTTCTCACAGCATTTTACTTTTTCTAATTCAAGCTTTTTCTAACTCCATTACCAGAAAACTAGTTTTGTTTACGTGTTTCTACCTGTGAATCCGCTCACAGCATTCATTGTTTACTTTTTCTAATTACCATTTTCTAACTTCATTACCAGAAAATTAGTTTTGTTTGTTTACTTTTTCTAACTCCATTACCATTTTCTAACTCTATTACCAGAAAACTAGTTTTGTTTTTAAGCATCTATGTTTCAGCGAAGTTTTGTTTTTAAGTATCACTTCAACTTGTTTGGTATATACTGTGATATATACCATTAAGATAGTTGAATTATGCCTAAACCTATGTTCAGCGAAAAGGTGTGAGAAAAAAATAAGTAAATAGTCAAGTTATTGAATCTTTTTACAAGATCAATTTTTGAATATTTCAAATTTGAGAGGTAAAAGGTGATTTTTCAATTGGGAAATGTGATGTTGTATAAGCAAAAGATATTTTGATGATCAAATTAATTAAGAGATACTGATATAAGAAAATGGATAATAAATAAATAATCGACATATATTTTAAGATTTTTATCTATTTATAATATTTTTAACTTTCTTTTTTTGTCTTGGTTCCTTAATTTTATTTTTTAATAAATACCAAACTATTTTTTAATTATATATATATATATTATATTTCTTTATAACCTCTTTTAAAAAATAAATAAATTTTAACTTAACATAAAACTATGTTGTGCATAAATTAAAATATATGATTACAAAATAGTTAATATACAAAACAAAAACTTTTACCAAATTATCTATACGTAAACCTATTTATATTTATAAAAAAATGATTTATTTTTTAATTTTTTTATAAATGATTATATAGACGTTCATTTAAACAAAAATTATATGTCATATTATATAACCTTGTTTCCATTAAAGTCATATGTAGAAATCAAAATAATATAATTTTAATTGACCTGGTCTTCCTAAATAAGATTATATTAAATATAAGAAATTAATTAAAATATATTAAAAGAGTAAGTGATAGGTTACATAGTATTTTTTTTAAATTATTAAACTTGTACTAAATTAAATATTTCTAAATTTTTGAAATGACTCCATAGTCCAAATCCTTAGTAAACCATAAATACTAAGATAAAAATAATATTTTTTCTACTCTATGAATTATTAATTTTGTTCAATAACCTTATTAAATAAAATCTTACTTGTAGGAATGTCTTTGGTATAGGTCCTATTGTCATTCGTCATGTATTCATATAATGCCCTTATAATTTTGTTCTTACATGTAAATACCAGATTAAAAATAAAAGAAAAATAATCGTAACATATATCAATTTAATAATATTTTTACGTGTAAAAACACTTATAATAAACTACGATGGGTCAAATTGAGAATATTAAACATTATAGAGACTAAATAATATATTTAACTTAAAAAAATTAATCAAAACCGTTTAGCTAAAGAGGGTCTAATTATTTCTCCGTAACAATGATTTTATTTTATTTTTTTATATTAATAAGACATTATTTGAACTTTACAATATTTTTATATTTCACTTTGATAAAATTACGAGGGAGCCAGAACAAAAACATTTACACTATACTAATGTCGATACATTTATTTGATTTGACTTGCAAACATGTCAAAACTTTAGTTTGGCACTGTCACATACGATACATTGGTCCCTACATATGTTGTTGAATATGTAACACCGGATAAGGTATATTGGTCTCTACAAATGTCAACATAACATAATTACCTCCCTTTAACCGTAACACATGAAAAATATTAATTCCAAAAAATGTGGCACTTTTATTCGCAATAATATATTTGAAATGACAGTGACTATGTTCACTTGGACTGCACGATTACTAACTTCTTATATGAAGATCTAAAAAAAAAAAAAAATACTCTTTCTGTGTAAAACTTATTTAACATCCAAATTTATATTTGAGTTCTGTCATAAAAGATCACTAACAAAGGACAAACTTTGTTCAATACCTGCACCAGAGAAAATTGTTTTGGTTATATTAGATGCTTCTTCCCGTTTCTTGTATACTAAAAATGAGAATATTATTTTTATTTTTTCATTATATTGATAGACAAAAACCTAATGGAATCCCTAGCCATGAAATGATGAAATTGTTACGTGAGTAACTATTATTGCCAAGCGATTAAATAAGTCATATTTATTATGAGAGAAATAAACACATCATAGAAAAAACAAAACACACACACACACAATTTAAAGGTAGCATTATTCTCTTAAAAGAATAAAAATGATGGTAACTTGATCCTAGTATTATCATTTAACCCACCAAATTTTGTCTCTTATTAACTCATTTTGTCGCTTCCTATTACCGACACGGTTATTCACTTATCATTTTTCACTTCATGATTGTTCATTAATTATTAAGTATGCATTTTTAAGATACTTATAAGAATTATTAAAAATAAGAATGACTACAAGCGATATTTTTTAAATAAAATATACTGATTAATTTATTTCACAAAATATAATATATTCATATTAACTTTCTTAATTTTCGGGTAACGGACTTGACCAACTCCCATGTACAAAGTCCGAGAATAAATTCAACGCGTTGACCGATAATTTATAGCAATCATGTTTTGGTAACACAATTAGTTAAAATTATATAATTTTAAATTTCATCTAAAATATAAACAATTTAATATTTTTTTCTCATCAACTAAAATTATTTTTAATTTATGTAAGTCATTTTTTTTTAACAAACATTGATTAATATGTAGGTTATGATCATTTATTGATTTACTTTATTTAAGGTTTTGTCTGTTAATATTGAAATGACTATATTTTTTAGACGATGACATGTAGAATTTTATATCAATAAGACTATTTTTTTAGACGATGACATGCATTGATAAATGTTATTTTTTGGTTATTATTAAATTTTGTATCCTAAAGTAGATAGATTATTTTCTATCTTTGTTAGTTAGGATATTTTTTTTACTAATATCAGTTAAACTATATTTTAATGGATGCCAACAAAAAATTATGTTGAAATTTGTCAGTTATTTTTTTTGGTTATGTTTGTAGAAATTGTTTTCCAATAAACATCATTGATGTTTTTTTTCCCGAAAATATCCATGATTTTTTTCTAAAGTTAATTGATATTTTGTGTTTACTGCTTATATATATATATATATATATATATATATATATATATATATATATATATATATATATATATATTAAATGTGACCAACCTTACTATTCTTAACGTTGTGATATATTTGAATATTAATAAAATAATGAATATTATTATTTAATTAGTGTAGTGAAGTGTAGGAGAGATGTTTATTTACGTTCCATTCACCATATCTTTCACACTCTCGTATTCCACTTATTTATTTTTTAAGTCATCAATCGGGTCAAGAAATAAAAATGGACTAGTCTGACTACGCTCACATTAATGGAACTTTGAATTTGGCCCAACGTAATGGACCATATAAGCCTAATTTAAAAGAAAAAAAATGTTTCCATATAATTTTAAAAAATAAATCACATAAATGAAATTATATTTCATTTAATCCACATATGGATTTTTTTGTGAGGTGTTTTACATTCAATTTGGAAACTAAATTTAGTTTCTTAATACTAGCTGACAGAGGAGTATCAACATTTTTATTATATTTTTCATTTTAATTTACTAAAATTTAATGTATATATTTATTTTTAAAGTTATAAATTATTTGACACAAATAAATGTGAGATAGAATTAAAAAAAAGAAGAGAAAATAAAAAAATGAAAAAATAATAATTAAAAGAAGTATAGAAAAAAATATAGAACATCAATATTACATTTTTCTTTGTCTTAAGTAATATATATATATATATATATATATATATATATATATATATATATATATATATATATATATATATATATATATATATATATATATATATATATGTATAAAAGACTATCCCTCTTCGCAAGACACATTTAAAATAAGTCATACTTCTCCCTCCATATTCATTGAAATTCGTATTTCCAATATTTTAACTGTGATACTGAGGTGCTTAGTTTTTTTTTTGTTTTTTTTTAAATGTTTACATATTAAAATTTTGTCTGAAAATGCAATTTTTTAGACATAAAATTTAAATCATTTTTACAAATTTAGTTTCTCATTAATTGAAATTTAAGTCTGTAAAATGTAATAGATACATGAACTTAGGAGATTTATATTTTGGTATAATGTTTACCACTGTTACCTGAATGAATGCCATAAAATTTTTATATCCCATTCTTTTCCATCATCCTCCAGTTATTACTTTTAAATTTGTATATTATTATTTATTTATGTTACTTTATTATTTTTTCATGAATAAAAAACTAATATTTTAAAGTTATTTTTATTAAATGTTTAAAAAAATTAGAGTGTAAAAAAATTATTTTTCCAAAAAATTTCGACATCTATTTACATATCTGGTAAAGCATCAATATTCAAGAATTCTTCTTTTTCAACAGAAACTAACATTCAATAATATTCCCTCAGTTTTTAATTTATTGTTTACACTACGCTAAGTGGGAAATAAAATCATATTAAGCATTTTTTAATTTAATTAAAAAAAGCCATAAACTTCCTTACAGATAAAAAAAAAATAGACATGATATTGTTTAGGAGGAGATGTAGTAATAAAACACAGTTTAGTTTCACCAAATCCTCAGGCACTAGTTTAATTTCCTATCTAAGCAGGTGTTCAGAAAAGATATGGTTTATTTTGGCCGCGTGATTGGACAGAACGATAAAAGTGAAGGAAAGAGTTTGAGAGAGAGATTGGAGTACCGTGTTGTGTTGTCAGAAGGGAAGGTTGACGACGTCGTTTGAAGAGATGGAAGAGGAAAGAGAAAAGCGTTGTCGTTATCGTCGGTGGAGAGATAGATGCAGGAACACCTTTCGAAGGAAGCAAAGAATGCCGTCGCAAATTTCGCACCAAGCCACCGAGTCACGCTGTCCAACTTCGACTGTCCGAGCACGCTCCTTCTTCTCCCCCGTCTATCTGAACGAACAATTTGATTCTGTCGCGTGTCGGACTTTTTTTAATATAAAAATAATATATTATTAATAAATAATAAATAAATATAAATAAATAAATAAAAGAAGGAAAGATGATAAAATTATAAATATATTAGATAATTATTAAATTTTTAATTAAAATTTATAAATTATATAAGAATTATAAAATTAATATGAAATTAAGAAAACAAAATTATAAATATATAAATAATATATTAAATAATAATTAAATTTAAGTAGATCATATATAAACTAAAATGAATGTATTTAATGAAAAAAATTATTAGGCTATTTTGTAATGACAATATTTTTAGGATAATTATATTAACAATAAATTTTTAGATTTTTCTAAATGCTTTATTTTTCTTTTAATTTATTTCTAAATCAAAATTTAATAATTTTAAAATTACATAGTTAAAAATAATATCATATCATAAGATATATTATTGATCATAAACATAAATATATGTTGTATGTGAGATATTTCTTTATTTTATGTTTTATTAAAGTATAATATATATATATATATATATATATATATATATTTGAAAAAAATTATCCATTATAAAATTTAAATATGAAAAATAAATACATTTTTTTCATTGGAGCTGCCGCTAGAGTATTAGTTAAATAAAATATTAATTTGATATTTGACTACGACTACAATTAAAAATAATGCTTACAAATAAGATAGAGTTAATGAAGAGAGTTCAATATACATATAGTAATTAACAAAAGACTCTTTCTTCAGTAACAAAGATGTTTCAATGTTTTTATTAAAAAAAAAAAAAAAGGTGTTTAAATGTTTGAAAAGAACAAGCAATGATGTAGAGCCACGTGTGAAGCCACGTAACATATTTATCCGCGGATAAGCAATGGCGGAGTGGTGTGTGAAAGTTGCAAAAGTTGAGTGAAGAGGCAACAACAATGGCAAACGTTTCAATTCCACTCCCACGAAACGGTTTCTCCATACCCAATTACACAACCAAACGCCAATCTTTCACCCCTTCACTCAGGATTTCTTGTTCTGGTCTTAGTCTTCCTCTCTTATTTTCTTATATTATATGATTTTTAATAAATGCATTTTCTCAATGTGTTGACGAAATTACAGTTTTGCATCTTGATCTAGTTTGAAAGTTAGATAACAATTTTTTTTGTTAGTAAAATCAGTAATGATGTTTTGTAGGTGTAGCCGAGTCAGATGGATCTCATCAAAATATGGGAGGTTTATTTAGTTTCAATGCAATGAAGGGCGTGGCCTGTGGTATTCTTGCAGCTTGTACTGTTACTTCTGCTGCATTTCCCGTTACTGCTGCTAACCAGGTCCAAACTGTGTTTAAATTTTAACAGTGATAGCAAAACTGTAATTTAATTCTTTGCAATGTAAACGCTAGGAATCTTGTGTAATTTTTCCTATTTATTTTTATCTATGGAGGAACTAAAAAAAATCATATCATTACTAGATTGCTAGGTTCTACGGATTGCCTGATTTACTTGCAGTCATGTAAATTTCAAATTTAAACAGAAGCTTTGCGATTGATGTGCTTTGAACGCCTAATATTCACTGTTCAGCTCCCATTTGCTCTTAGAAGCTAATGTCCAATGAGGACATTTCATGGATGAGTTTTTGTTTGCTGAGAGATATGCTTACAAAAGTTAAAGGAGGCCCTTTGTTTGTTAATGAGAGTACCAAAGCAGGATTGATGTGCCAGATAGGTACTGAAATTGTTAGGTGATTTGTGGAAGGAATAGCAACTAATTAGGAAGTAGAAACAGACAACTAAGGTTGGCAAAGATCAAGTGGTTTCTCTATACATATCTTTTGATTCTTTTCATGCTAACATGATATCAGCATATCTGTTGTTACAGGCTAATAAGGTGACTTTTCATTTGTTACCACTTACCATAGCAATTATAGATAGTTGTTTTGAGATGCAATATGTAATTCTTAAATTCAGTTGAAAGCAACAAGTATATTCAAATTTCAATTCTCAGGTTTTGACATGTTAGGACACTTGAGGTAATGGGTTCCTCTATAAGTGGGCAGTCATCAGAAACATTTCCTTCATTACTCATTCTGATGTTCTTTTCGACAAATCCTAAGAGGCTCACATAGATGTCCTTCACAGTTTTGCACATATAACCTGTCTTGGTCAGAACTATTTTCCCTTAGGGCTAATGGAGCATCTTTCAATAATATTTTACTCTTTTTCTTCTGATAAAATGTTCAAAGTTATGATTATCATGTCGGTCACAAATGTTGATCAAAGTTTAAATTTGTGAAAGACAAATGTGATTTACGTATCTCTTCAAAAGAAGCATTTGAGGAGAGAATGCAACACCCTATATGTTTTCCATGCAGAGACTTCCCCCATTGTCAACTGAGCCTAATCGCTGTGAGCGTGCATTTATTGGCAACACAATTGGTCAGGCGAATGGTGTATATGATAAACCACTAGATCTCCGGCAATGTGATTTCACAAATGAAAAATCCAACCTGAAGGGGAAGTCCCTGTCTGCAGCACTCATGTCAGATGCTAAGTTTGATGGTGCTGACATGTCGGAAGTTATAATGTCAAAGGCTTACGCTGCTGGTGCCAGCTTTAAAGGTAATGTTTTTTACTTGTGCAAAATCAACCAAATGTTAGATTAAGACTTTAGGGGCAAAATACAAGTTTTTCAACATATCTATATTTGTGAAATGTATCCTCTCTTTTTTGTTGTTGTTAAGAGCAGTAGTCTGCTAAGATTGAATGACAAAAGATATAAAACTATTATTCATGTTTCCCAAATCCGGTTTACCTGTCCAATTAAGAGATGCTCTGATATTATAACTCTTTGAGTGTTCTGTTCAGCTACAGATAAATGAACATGTTGAGTCATGGATACTTTATAGAATAGAGTTCCAAATTATACGTAAACATGCGAGTTGTGATTCATTCTATTTGCCACATAGACAAAGCAATGATCCAGGGATATTTACAGGGGTGGACTTCTCAAATGCAGTCTTGGACCGTGTGAACTTCGAGAAAGCTGATCTTGAAGGAGCTGTATTTAGGAACACAGTGTTATCGGGCTCCACCTTTAATGAAGCTAAGCTGGACAAGGCAGTTTTCGAGGACACTATTATTGGTTACATTGACCTCCAGAAACTATGCACAAATAAGTCCATCGGTGATGAAGGGAGAGCTGAACTAGGATGTCGATGAAAAGCAAAGTCTTTATTGCCTTCTATTTATAATATGCTCCTATGCCATGACTTGGCACAAATATTTTGATGAGGGTAGCCAGTGGATTAACCCTATTGAATTCTTTGCTTTTCTTGTATGATGTTGTGTAATTTGTAGTATTCCTCTCGATTTTAACAAACAAATTGGAAGACCTTGGTATATTTAATCATTTTACTTGTATTTGTTTTTTACAATATCTATTTGATTCTTTACCACCTTGTTAACTTTTCAGTTTTCGCCACGGCCCAGGTTGGGAAATCTACAAATTTTATCTGCATATTATAATATCAATTTTGGAAGCATGGTTTAGAAGCAAAGGACAAGACTGTTGCATCGTAAGAAGCATCTGGTGTAGTTGTATCAAAGTACCTTTCAAAGGTACAACGATTATTAATTTAATCTGTGTTGAGGAATAAGATTCACTAAAATCGATGAAAAAAATGAGAGAACAAATCTAACAATGGCAATATCTTGCACAAGTCCATAGGTTATGAATGCTTACCTCCCGGGCACATACATCATGATGGGTGTTGTCATGTTCCCTCATTTTGAATCTGCATCCACTGTTCTAATGTTTTGATGGATTTTATGTACAATTTTGGAAGGTTTGTTACTTTATTCTTAAAGCTAGATTATGTATTTTTATAATACTTTTAATCAAACCATCAAACATGATTTATCAGTTTATTATGTACTATGTTGGCTGGATGCTACTGTTTAGAGATTGAATGAGTTAAAGCAAGGAGAGATTATTGAATGTATAAATCATGGTAGGCCTTTTGGTTTTAAAACAAAACTTTTGTTTAGATTTATCTAATTCTACATATCTTTTCTTTACTTACCATGTGTGGAAGCATGTATTGTATGTTGGAGGAATGACAATGATAGTCTCGTATGTTGGAATGCTATGATTTTTTAGTAGATAATATCATTTAATGTATTATTATCTAATTGGGTAATTTTTAATTGCTTCATATAGTTGACTAAAAGAAGACTTGTTGATGCTTTAAATTCTCAAATTTCAATAAAAAACTATGATAAGTGGCTTAAATTTGTAGGTAACTACTAATACCTATGATGAGTACGACGACATGGGAGAATACAAATAGTTCTTTCTTGTTTTGTTTCACTTCTTAGGCTTAAGGGTGTGCGCGGCTATTCGATTTCAAAATAACTCATCAAACTAATTAGTGGTTTTTTATAGTTCCACTTAAATTAGTTTTAGCTATCTTTATTATTGTAGAATTGTTAAATATTTTTATTTAAATTATTAAATATTTTATCATAAAAATTGTTAAATAAAAAATATCCTTTATTGTTTACAATTATATATATATATATATATATATATATATATATATTTATATTTTTTCTCAGATTCATGAATATATTATTAAAATTGTAATAACAAATTATAATGTAATTGATAAATATAAATATATTATAATTATAATATAATTAAATTGTAAGACTACATTTAACTCGGTTAATAATTTATTTTAAATTTATAATATTGTATTAAAATATAATATATAGTTTTATTTTATTAATTTTAATAAAATTTCTCAATCATACCATTTTTTTAAAGAAAAAGTAGATTCAAAAGATAAACGAAATAACAAATCATCGGTTTTTTAAATTTTTTTAAAAGTTATTCTCTTTTTGGTTCGGTTTTAAATATCTCTGCTTAAAATCTAAGTTAATTCAGACAAATCCTTCAATAAATTGGTTTTGAAATTGTAATTTGTTGAATGGGAGAGCTTTAAGATTGATTCAAGGATGATAAATATGAGGATAATGTTGTGATGATTTTGAGTGTTGAAATTATATATATATATATATATATATATATATATATATATATATATATAAATAAATAAAATAGTAAGATACCGCTGAATATATTTTTTATGTAAAAGAAACACAATAAACCAGCATTCCTATTAATGATTAAAATTTGTTTATTTGGTCATGAAATTTTGGATACTATTTCTACCATTTTCTGGAAATTTGATTTGTGATTTGATATTTTAACGAAAAAAGAATTATTTATCATATTAAATGATCTACTGAAACCAACCTGGTATTTATATTATCGGAAAATTATTTTCACATCTATGATAAAATGATTTTTGTGAGAATTTTAACAAATATGCTGTAGAAAAAAACTAAATATGTTGAGCTATAGGATTTTGAAATAGTATAAATTTAGCAAGTATTAAATGTTTCTTAGTTATTCGTATTAAATCAAAAATAAATCTTTGAAGTTAAAAAGCTAAAACAAAGTTTTTATCATGGGAAAGTATCTGAGCTGTAACACCACTTACGAACATTCGAAAGATTATTCCAAAGATTCGTTTTCTTTTTTGCTTCTCTTTCTTTAACCCTCAGAATCACGGATTGTCGGTGGCGATCTCACCCGGATTCATCAAAGGTAACACGTGTCGGTCTCAGACGATAATGGTGTAAAAGCACAGATTATCCTCGAAGCACCTGATAACTGCCCCTCAGCGCAACAACACACGACAGGGAAACCTCTCCGTTCCCACCCGGCCAGCGCATGGTCCTTTCTGAAAATTCCTCCGCAATCTTCCTCAATTTATCCGTCAACGATCCGAACATGCTTTCTTTCCCATTATCGCCAGGGTTTTAGATCACCCTCGCGACTAAAGCGATTTCTTCGTTAAACTATTATTAACTTCTAGGGTTTCGTCAACCGCCATGGCCGAGTGGCACTCTCTCCTTCAATCGATTATCGTCGGCCTCATTTTCTCTTACCTTCTCGCCAAACTCATCTCCATCGTTGTTTCCTTCAAAGACGATAACCTCACCGTAACGCGAGCCGCTGTCGCCACACGCGCAGAACCCGAGGATGCCAAACTCGACCACGCCGTTCCCGATTCTGTTGCCGCGCCCCCCTTTGAGCAGCAGTCCGTGGTGGCCGAGCACGGTAGCGTGAGGACTGAGAGTGACGGTGACTACGACGATGATGATTGGGAAGGCGTGGAGAGCACCGAATTGGACGAGGCGTTTAGCGCCGCGACGGCGTTCGTGGCCGCCGCCGCCGCCGATCGGCTCTCGCAGAAGGTGTCGAACGACGTGCAGCTTCGGCTTTACGGGTTATACAAGATTGCCACCGAAGGTCCCTGCAGCACGCCCCAACCTTCGCCACTCAAAATGACCGCACGTGCCAAATGGTATATTTTTCGCTGTTCTCTGTTCTCATACTTGCTTTTTGCAACGGTGACCCTGTCAAGGAAAAGAAAGAAAAAAAAAAGATGAAGAAAAGGAACAGTTCGTATAAATTAGGATTTTTTTTCGTGCTCTTACGTGTGTTTATATAGCAATGTGTGTAATGTGGGATTGGTGATCATTGAGCTTGTTTTGGATGTATTTGTAGTTTGTACTATTAAAGCTGAGACTGATACCACAACTACAAATCCTCTTCGTCTTTTTCTTTTTGGTTTTTTCTTTTTATGTAGGTAATGTTTACTTTTTCTTGTAGCCTAAGTGTTTGAGGAATATCTGATGTACTATTACTGAATATTGTATGCAAATGTTAGTTTTGTTTTTTACCCTTACCTGTCTCATCGCCACCTTTGTAGGCAAGCATGGCAGAAACTTGGTGCTATGCCTCCTGAAGAAGCAATGCAGAAGTACATTGACATTGTGACTGAGCTATATCCTACTTGGCTTGATGGTTCATCTTTGGTGAGCTAATACGCTGTTTCTTCTATAGCCCTGGATGGATGATTTTTAGTAATGAAAGTAGTGTGTTTAAATACATTCTTTGTGTTTTTACTTTTGCATTCTTGTGCCTAACTCTTACAGCTTTTGTAACAGAGGAATAAACGCGGCGATGCTAATGGCTCTGGTTCAGAGGCTAAGGGACCAATGGGACCAGTGTTCAGTACTTTTGTTTATGAAGAAGAATATGGCAGTGACTCGTAAGATTCCTAAAACTAAACTAAGTTGTTCTGGGTGTGTACGTGTGTGTGCTTAATGTAATTATAATGATGTTTCCTTGATGATTCATGTAGTTAGAACGGCGGGGTATCTTGAAATGAAAATTTAAGGGATTTAGTTTCTTTTTAATCTGTGTTAGTTCTACGAGATTTCTCAATTTTATTTGTGAATTTTAGTTCTTTATGTTATGAAGTTCAAAAACTATCCTGCATATAAATCATGTTCATTGGTAATCACAACTTACCAATGTGTACCTCCCGGCAAAGTCAATCATATAACAGTAAAATTTTGAATTTATATAGTTTTGATACATTATTTCTTATAACTAGTAATTAACACAATTACTTTGTATGGATTTCAATCTCAATGGGGATTTTTTCCACCTATTTGTTGTTAATCAATAATTGGTATTTAAACATTAAATTTTATTTTGGTAATTTTCCCATCCTTACTATTTATTTTGCAGCTACCATTCCTGGCAAAATGGAAGTAGCATATGGTTTAAATTTGGAATGTTTAGATCTCTGTGTAATACATTTTGTGTTTGTATAGGAGGAACAAGTATTGAGCTCAATTAAGTATTCCTATATCGACAACTTTGAAGTTTCTAAGCATTTAGGTTAGCATAGAATCTTTGGAATGGTTTCTATTGTTTACTTGATAATAGTACTAGGATACTAATACAAATCCTTCTCAAGTTTTTATTTTTAATGCCGATGCTCTTCATGTCTTATTTCCTCTTTCTTGTACATGACCTTGTCTTTACACTAATCATCAACCCTCACCTATTACTAAAATCCTTAAGCCTTTGACATATTTTGGGGAATTATATGAGCTGATCACAAGGTTTTTTGAAGTTATAAATTGTCAAACTTAATATTCTCAGTATCAAATATATTTTTTGATGAACAGCAACTTTTGAACAGCCAGAAAGTGATAAAACTCTGTAGTTAGGATGCTTCATCGTCAAAATGGAAGAACTCTGTACTGTTTCTGGAAAGAATAAAATGTTGATAGACATATTCATTTTTAATTTTTTCATTTACAGCCAAATGGAAGCCATTCATGGATTTGCCAGGGAAGGAGATATGGCTAATCTGCTCAAATGTATTGAAAATGGTGTTTCGGTGAATTTAAAGGGTGAGTTATTTTTAATAGCTATTTGCTTTTCCTTGTGCATACATTATTCTCCACAGTGCTGTGAATTGTCAGTAATTTTTTTTGTTTTGGTTTTTGAATGGATCAAGCTCCTAATAAAAACTTGTGGCCAGCATTAGAAAGTAAAGTACAGTCAGTAAAACAACATCTACCTGAATTTTAGCTTGACAAGTCTAACATGAGTAAATTTGTTTACACTGTTTTTAAAACCGAAGGTATGTGCTATGTTTTTGTTATGACTTATGAGTTACAACCCAAAACCCAAGCCGTAATCAGTACACACTCCTAGCAAGACCCTTTCCCAAAACAAATTATATTTTCAATGTAACCAAAATTTCGTTAGTCTTCTTTACATTTTCATCATCTCAAAGCTAATAATCACATCTTACTCTCATAGTAAGTAAGTGGATCCCTCCTCTCTCTCTCTCTCTCTCTCTCTCTATATATATATATATATATATATATATATATATATTACAAAATTTCGTAATAATAGGAGGGATCCACTTGCTTATTATGAGAGTAAGAGACTTTATTTTCATCTTTACTATTCATTTTTTTTGTAATCTACAGGTCTAAGATTACAAAAAACAAAATAAATAGTGAAGAGGAAGAGTAAATTTCTAACTCTTATTCTTGGAGTAAGGGAATCCCTTCTTATGTATGTATATATATATATATATATATATATATATATATATATATATATATATATATATATATATATATATATATATATATATATATATATATATATATATATATATATATATATATATATATATATATATATAGATAGATAGATAGATAGATAGATAGATAGATAGATGTGTGTGTGCAGTCCAGAACATCAACAAGCACTATATATATTGTTCCAATACAATACCGTATATAATGTAACTCAATATGTTCATGACTAGTTAAAAAATAAATAAAAAACAAGTGACAAGGGACTTCAAATATAATGGAGGCCTGTCAAGGAAACAGTGTTCTGAAGGACCACAACTCCAAATAGCATGCAACTCAGTTGCATGATAACATGGATAAAATAAACTGCGTGTATGGGCATAACAAGCATATGAGTTAGAGAAGGGCATACCAATGCAAGGGTGGTTTGTTCTATCGAAAATCTATTAGACTATGCTAAGATAATGCATATAGTTGGTCAAAATCACTTAATTAAAATGTAAAAAACAGCAACTACAAAAACCTTATTTTACTAGGCGAAGTCAATTACATGAATGACCCCATTTTTTTTGGTTGAAGGCTAAAACTTCAGAGATATTATTTACCATCAGATACCAAAGCAACTTCCTTGAGTATCGTTCAATAAAATGTCAAAAGAGAATGAAAATCATGAAACCTTATAAGCCAACCATGGTAGAAACAATAATCTTTATTTCATCAAAAGTAAGAATAATAACATACAGGTAAAATGGAATATCAATCTGTGAATAGAAAAGGTTTAAGAATTTAATATTGTTGGGGTCACAAGCGAACCAAAATATGATGGGGCAGCTTCATCTTGCTTATAATCTCCTCCTTCTCTTAGCACCATTGTCTCCACCTAATAAGTAGCCTCTCCATTGGTGGGTCTATGTAATTGATAAGTCTTTCCTCCTTGATGCGTGACTAGGTGCATACAAGTGGCTACTCCCGCTGACAGCTATGGGACTCTAACACGTATCCCCCAAAATATAAATCATTTAACTATTTTGTAGTACAGATTTATTTTGAATGATGATCTTATAATTTTAAAATTCAACCTTTTGTACTAGATTACTATTCAAAACAATTGAAATAACTACTGTCACAATGCACAAATAAAATAATGTAATTTTACAAAAATCCATAACATGGTAACTATCCATAAAATGATGTCATTTATGCCACAATGATAATCTTTAACTCAACAATGAGAAAACTTGTTAATCACTTTCCAAAGGACTTGGACTGTGAGTTTGTGTTCTGCAAATCTAAACACCAAAAAATATTTGGGAAGGCTATGTAAAATTATTTAACGACACAATCTGTGTGTTAATGCTTAGAACACTAAAATGCACCTTCCCTTAAATGATAATATGCTAGAAGCGTTTTCTTCAATTTTTAGGTTGAGTATAACTTAAAAAGAGTCAAAATTAGCATAATTCCCAGGAATGGAGAGCGATCCTTTTCTTTGGAGTACCATACCATCCCATACCAAAGTGTTGCTTAGTTTATGACCAAAATGGGTGGGACTGTAAAGTGTATCTGGATTCGGAAAAGATATTTGGAGTTGAGAGAAATTGGAGTAAGATAGGAAAGAAAGAAAGAAATGTAGCAATGTGAGGAAGGTGGATGGAGAACTGAAAACAATAAAAAGATGTTTCTTGCTCATCAAGCCTATGTAACTTGCTGGTTTGAAGATAGAAAATTGATTGGTAACTGATGTGACATGACACAAAAGGAATAAATCTTGTAGGACTTGCTTTAGGAAATTCCTTTTTATCATGAAAATTAGCTGTAGTGATGGAATCGGTCTTGCTTCCTGTTCAACCTTCAATTTAATTACGTTCTCATTTGATCTCCTGGTTCCTACATTTGTGGGGAAGAGTTATGCCAGTGATTTTAGTGTCTTGTTTTTGTTTAAATGTGAAAGCTTGATACATAGCAAGAGAAGTAGCCATAGTCACTGTAGGTGCGTTTCTCTTTCACAAGTTTGATACACAGTAAGGTGAAGTAGGTATAACCCCTGCTAGTTTGCTGTATGCAAACTCTTTATTATTTTAACTGTAGAGGATACAACAACATTGGTCATCAGATGATATAGGATGTAGAGAAAATTGTTTCTTCCCTTGACTGCCAACTAGTCCTAAAAAAGTCCTCGGCAATCTCATTGTGATTGATATTTTCTGTTTCGTGCCCGTGAGTTTTCAAATTAATATCTGCTTTTGACTGCTGTTATTATTTGTCCGTTCTTTATCAACATGCGTTTTTTAAATGAATGCAGACAGTGAGGGGCGGACACCATTACACTGGGCTGTGGATCGTGGCCACCGTAATGTCACAGAGTTGCTTGTGGGCAAGAATGCTGATGTGAATGCCAAGGTACTCTCATTCGTGCATGCTTTAGAATCAAGGGTCTATACAGTAACGTCAGGGACTACTTATATTTCTTTATGAAATTGCCTTAACTTAGGGTCTATACAGAATGAAAGCAGAGCTGAACCTTGTTTGGATTCTGAACCAGGCATTACTTCTCACTGCAGAAATTATATGATATCAAAATTTAGCTTAGGGTTTTGGAGATTGCTTTTTTGCATGTTAGTTACTGACACTAATGTCCATTTAGACACTTTTTGTTGATATTATTGTTTTATTTTTTGGAAGGATAATGATGGACAAACTGCCTTGCATTACGCCGTTACGTGTGATAGAGAAGGCATAGCCGAGTATTTAGTGAAGCATAATGCAGATATAAATTCGAAAGATAATGATGGAAGTTCACCGCGAGACATCTGTGAGTCAAACTGGCCATGTTTTCAGCACGTGGGGGACGTAAATTGATTGCTTGTTTGCTTGATGCTGGTTCTGGCCAATGTAACCATTTACCCTAATCCCTTCAGGATGTACGTGTCAATATAACTTTTTTTTTAATGTCTCCTTACTCGTGGTGTATACACCCTTTTCTGTCTATGCACCGCTTAGGTAATGGTTAATCAGGTATATTCTGTTTTATTTTGTTTCCTCTGCAACACACTCTAATTCTGCTCTCATTTCTTATACATTATTTCATAGATAAAGATATAGAAGGAAACTAATAATAGTAACAGGGAAAGGGAGGGAATCTAAAACGATATTCGTTCCTTGGAAAACCTCCTACCTTCTATTGAAGGTGATATAGATTTTGCAGTTATTTTAGGTCTTAAGTTGGTGTTAAGATTATCTGGATTCCCGTGAAATCTTTGATTGATGATGGTAAGTATGTGGAATCTGATGTCTCTGTCCGCCTTTTTCAAGAAAACAGTGTGTGGTACCCTCTTTTTACGACTTTGATTATACAAGCTAGTTACTTCCTTTATTAGCGTGTCAAATTAGTAATTAGAAATAGGAAAAGATATTTTGTTTATCCATGTAAAAGAACCGAACAAGGCTTGATTAATTTTTTGTTTTTTTAATTATAAATTAAATGTAAAGAAACATGATAAAACGATCTTTTACTTTTGGCGCGTCCGTCATAAGTCAGTCAAGTCAGGTTACGTTTGGCCGGCTGATCCGTGGTAACAAATCAGTTTGCTTTAAAATATATTTTTAATCTATTAAACCAATCATTCTTACAATTTTTTTCTTCCATTTCTTTTTATTTCTCACCAACTTTGTCTTAATCAGTCAATTCCACTTTCACGTTTCTTTTCTATCATTTCCACTTCCCCATATCTATCTTAAAATTAAACCCAAGCTTAATGATCCAACATGATTGAGCAATATGGATGAGAGATGAGTATTTGCTGAAAAGGATAGGTATCTATTAAGTTTGTGCTTGTTTTCATTAATTTACTATTTAGGTGGACGGAAGAGTGAGTGAGAATTATGTTTCAAAATGATATATGAGGATTTGAAGGCACAAATTGAAGGAAAATATGGAATGAAAATTTTCCGCAGAAGTGAAGAGAAGAATGGAGAAATGTTTGAAATCCTTTACAATTTTACATAATTATCTTTCTTTTTATTGTTTGGATGACAAATGCATGTATTTCTTTTTATTGTTTGGATGACATATGCATGTATGCAAGATTCTTTCGTAGTAGGTCACACAGTATGAAATCGTGAGAAGAGAAGTCACAAGTAAGGAAAATTATATGTTGATTATTTTTGTTGTTATAAAAAGAGTACTATATCTCTCTTGAAAATCATCTTAAATTTCTTCTTTTTCTTTTTTATTAGTGCATTATATACTAATTGAGTTTTCTTATTTATTTCTGAAAAAAATATTATTATTATTTTTTTCTTATATTTAAAGAGGGTATTATAATTTTTTTCGGTAGTAAAATTATTACTTATTGTTGGTTTAATTTCTCTTTTCTTATTTTTTATTTTAGTTATGAGTTCTTATGCAGTTATTCTGATTTCTAATAATGGTATTAGAGTTGATAATTAGTTTCTTATTTATGATATTATTCCATTGCTATAATCATTAGAAAAGTGTTGGAGAAAATTTTTAGTATGCTTTGTGGTTATAGTTAATATGATCTTCCACATCAGAAAAAAGTTATTCTAGTTACGAATATACTTGAAATAGAAAAAGGAAAATAAAGAACTAATTTTGAGAGCCTGAAATCATCTTCTTGTGTTCTCTTATTTATAGGAGATAAAAATACAGATTAGAGATACAATTAATAGAGAGACATGATTAATCCTAGAAAAGATAAACAGATGCATTCTAAGAACTAGGTCTACAATTAATCTCATAAATGCCCAACAAGATACACTTAATCTAATAAATACTTCAACACTCTCCCTCAAGCTGGAGCATACAAATTGAATGTACCAAGCTTGGAACAAATGAATTTCATTTGAGGTCCTCTAAAAGATTTTGTTAATGCATCTGCAAGCTGATCATTGGAACCAACAAAATCAGTACAAATTTCTTTAGTCAATAACTTCTCCTGAATAAAATGACAGTCAATCTCAATATGTTTAGTCCTCTCATGAAATACTGGATTGGAAGCAATGTGAAGAGCAACTTGATTATCACAATACATCTTCATAGATTGCATCTCACAGAAGTTCAATTCTTGCAAGAATTGTTTTACCCAAACAAGTTCACAAGTAAGAGACGTCATTGCCTTATATTCAGCTTCAGCAGAGGATCAGGCAACAACGTTTTTCTTTTTGCTTTTCCATGAAATGATATTTCCTCCAAGGAAAACACAATAGCCTGTAGTGGAACACCTATCCATAGGAGATCCAACCCAGTCAGCATCACAGTACCTAAAAATTTGGGTATTTCCCTTATCTTCATATAATAATCTTTGTCCTAAAGCTTTTTTAATGTATCTTAAGATTTGAATGATAACATTCCAATGATCCACACAAGGAGTTTGCATAAATTGGCTGACCACCAACTACAAAAGACAAATCAGGTCTAATAATCGTCAAATAAATAAGTTTCCCAACCAATCTTCTATATCTTTCTGGGTCAGAGAAAATTTCACCCTGTCTTGCCATTAACTTCAAATTTGGATCCATAGGACTGTCAACAAGTTTGCAATCAATCATATCTGTCTCTTTTAGAATATCTAGAGCATACTTCCTTTGAGAGATGACAATACCTTCTCTTGATTGAGCTACTTCAATACCCAAGAAATATTTTAGATTTTCAAGATCTTTGGTCTGAAAATAACTACACAAGTGCTCTTTTAGCTAAGATATTTTAGCAGCATCATTCCCTGTGATGACAATATCATCAACGTAAACAATTAAATAAGCATGTTTGCCAGGGGCAGTGTGACAATAAAACACTGAATGATCTGCTTCGCTGCGTTTTAATCCAAAAGTTTGAACAATAGAGCTGAATTTTTCAAACCAAGCACGTGGAGACTGTTTTAGGCCATAGAGGGATCGACGTAATTTACAAACCAAACCAGACTCCCCATGAGCAACAAATCCAGGAGGTTGCTCCATGTAAACTTCTTCTTCTAAGTCACCGTGCAAAAAATCATTTTTAATATCCAATTGATGAAGAGGCCAATGACGAATGACGACCATGACAAGGAACAGGCGGACAATGGTCATTTTGGCTACAGGAGAAAAAATATCACAATAATCAAGTCCATATATTTGAGAATACCCTTTAGCCATTAACCTGGCTTTAAGAAGATCAACCTGACCATTGAGCCCAACTTTAATAGCATAGATCCAACGACAACCAACTGTTTTCTTTCTCAAAAGGAGAGGAATAAGCTCCCATGTTTTACTGTGATCAAGAGCCTGCATTTCAGAAATCATGGCTTGTCGCCATCCAGGATGATCAAGCGCTTCGACCACATTTTTGGGAATTGCAATAAAAGATACAGAGGAAATAAAAGAACAATAGGAAGAAGACAATCTATGATAACTAAAAAAATTGTAAATGGGATGAGGATTACGAGTAGAACGAGTACCTTTGCGAATGATAATGGGTCAACTGGAGTCATCGTTATCAGGAGCCGTGGTATTAGAGGATGATGGTGAAAGACCTGTTATGGATGACTCATCTTGGAGAATGTGATTGTTCACCTGGTTCCTGCGTTGATAGGTGATGATAGGCTTTGATGATGATTCTAGAGTATTTTGGTTGGGATTTGGAGTGTCAGGAATAGGAGGTACAAATGATTCAACTAAGGAAACAGGAAAAACATTTTGGACATAATCAATATCCTGCATAGAATAAGGGAAGAAGGATGATGATTCAAAAAAGGTGACATTAGCAGACATGTAGTACCTCTTGATTTCAGGAGAGTAACACCGATATCCTTTTTGAAGACGAGAATACCCCAAGAAGACACATTTGATAGCTCTAGGTAAGAGTTTATCTAAGCCAGGAGACATGTCATGAACAAAATATATACATCCAAATACCCTAAGAGAAACATGAAAAATTGATTCCTTTGGAAATAGAATAGAGTGTGGAACTTTATTATCAAGAGAATAAGATGACATTCTATTAATGAGAAAGCATGCAGATAGAATAACATCTCCCCAATGATGAATAGTCATATTGACACTCAACAATAAGGTACGAGCAGTTTCAACCAAATATCTATTTTTCCGTTCTGCTATATCATTTTGCTGTGGTGTGTGAGGACACGTGGATAGGTGTAAAATGCCTTGAGAATTTAGGACATTAGAAAAATAATTAAAAAAGTACTTTTTGGCATTATCACTTCATAAAACTTTGATTATTTTTCCAAATTGAGTTTTGATTTCATTAAAGAAAGACTTAAAGATAGGTAAGAGTTCAGAACGATCTTTCATAAGATAAACCCAAGTACATCTAGAAAACTCATCAATAAAAGTAACAAAATATCTAAAACCAAAAGATGAAACACGACTAGGTCTCCATATATCTGAATGAACAATACTAAAAGCAGAATCACATCTAGATTCAAAATGATTTGGAAAGGATGACCTGATATGTTTCCCTAATTGACAAGATTCACATTCAAAAGTTTGAAGGTTCTGAAGTTCAGGAACCATTTTTTTTAATTTTGCTAAATGAGGATGTCCTAATCGCTCATGCAACAGTTTTGGGGATAAGGATGCAACACAAGATACAAATAACTTAGTCCTAAAGTAGTATAAGTCTCTAGATTCATGTCCTTCTCCAATCATTCGACCCGTACCACGTTCATGGATAACAAAACAATTGGCATTAAAGGTTATTAAGCAATTCAATGATTTGGTTAATTGGCTTACAGAAACAAGACTGAATGGAAAAGAAGGAACACAAAGAACATTTTGAATTGACCAATTCCTTTAGAGGCTACTTTAGATCCATTAGCTAAAGATATGAGATGAGATGTTTT